AAGACATGCAAAGAGAAGCATGATGCACAGTATACCCAACAAAGTGATACCCCTTTGGAGCTGGGACAACTGATTCCATGACTGTTGATGGGCAATCTATCTTTTTAAGCGTAAGACTGACCTATCACAGTTTAGTAGTATTATTACCCTAATGAGATCCAATTTATACTTAGACTAACTATTCTTAATGCAAATAGCAGCTGTCTATCTTGCTTAGCTACTACAGTTATTATAGACAGCTTGTACCCTTAAATCTGTTTATTCTTATATTTTCAAATTACAATTGTAATTAGGGTACTAATAATTAAAATCAATTGATTGATTGAGTACATATTATTACCCTAATTACAATTGTAATTTGAAAATATAAGAATAAACAGATTTAAGGGTACAAGCTGTCTATAATAACTGTATATTATATCTGAGTACACTATTGGAGGCATAGAATGACAACTCAGTTTTGCAGTGACGTCATTTGTACATCACTATTTCAGATCAGCTGGCGAGGATTTCCTTTTAGATGTAAACCATACGTTTTGTGCAGTACTATAGAATTTGCTCTAAACTATTTACCTTTAAGGCCTTCATCTGTCTTGTCACCTGAAGACTTATACCACAGAAAAATTCAATGTTAATAATGTCTAGCTATGGTCACATGAATAGGAACATTAACGACTCATATATTCCATATTTGGTATGGAAACGATAGGTCCTTTGCAGTTTACGGTCAAATGTCTGTATTGTAGAGCAAATTCTTTTTAAATTTTAAATTGGTGATTCTTTTTAGCTACTGTACTTGTAAAGAACTGAATGTAACGATGTGTAACCAGTGTGTCACAAAATGCAGTTTTATTACGATCTCTCAAAACAGGTTGTAGAAAGTTTGTTTGCAGTCCAGTAAATTTCACCCATGGGAATCAAAATGTTCATTCATTTGCTCTCAGTGAATTAATCAGCATGTGATTACTGAGCTGCAAAGGGCCTATTATGAGACACAGCTTGGATATTGATAATGGAAATGATGAAGGATAAATATGAGACATTGTCAGACCAACATCTTGGTCTAAAGGAGGCTTATATTATTTGGACTATGAAAATTACTTCCAGACTCCAAAGCTCAACTCCATATTATGAAACATGAATGCAATTTTTCAGTGTTCCACTTACACTACTGCTTGCTTCAGCATTACTGGTTCCTACAAAGTTGAAAAGAAATCATTTTGTTATCATTATATTCTTTTATACACTATATAATGACTGAGACATAAGTTGCAAAATGTAGGTCAGTAGTAGAGCACCCAGGGATAGCCATTGAACTATGTCTAGCCAGAATTGGAAATTGTCTGGTCAAATCTTTGCATTGCCAGTGATTTTGACCAGGGATAGCCATTGAACATTGTCCAGCCAGAATTGGAAATT